GGAAGGGGGGGAGGGGGAGTGTGTGTGGGGGGGTGAATAGGAGATGATTTGCAATCTAGAAAAGGGTTACTGTGTGTCAGGAGCTATTATAGGAGCTCTATATGGATTTAATCCTCGCGGCAATCCAATGAGGATGTGCTTTTATCTTTCCCATTTTGCACGTGAGGGAACTGAGCTGGGAACGTTAGATTACGGGCTGAAGACCCCATGAGTGGTGGGATCTCGCCAGTGTACCTGTGGGGCCCAGGGGATTTTTCCAGAATCTATATTTTTAACCATCAAGCGGTACTGCCTTAAAAGTTGTGAAAGCAAATGAGTAAATGAGGCGAGAAGAGGAAGTGTTACAGAAATGGCGGCCGTGGGAAGGAGGGCAGCGGGTCCCTGGCGAGCCCAGAGAGGCAGGCAGTGCAGAAAGGGGTCTTGCTTTTGACAGGGAGGGAGGGATGGATGGGGGGGGTCATAGCTCTGCCCCTTCCGAGAGCTGCCCCTTCTGCCCTTTTTTTTTACTGACCATTCTAGGCCCAGACAGCTTTTTTCCAGCTTGTGTGGGTGCAAAGTGCCCAGGCCTTCTCCTGGGGGAGGGTTTGAGGGTGGAGTGCTGAGGGTCTTGGAGATCTGGGGAGAGGGAGGCAAGCCAACTCAGAGGGAACCAGGATGGTGCAGTCAGGAGAAGACAGCTTCCATCTGGGTCCCTCTCATGTCCCCACCTGTCCGTCCTACCAATGCGTTTACTGAGACCTCGTTGGGATCCAATGTGGCATCTCTGATAATCTTTGGGACTCATAGGGGCACTGATCTAAGGGCCTCGGTGATGGAGGTGGGGGTTTGCCAGGAGTCCCTTCTGGCCCAGGCCTCTGGCTATGTACTGTGTGCCCTGCCTTACCTGTAGGAAGTAGGTGACACTTCCTCCAGAACCTGTGTCTTTGTCCACGGCATGGACCTTAAAGATACTGCTCCCGGGAGGTGTGTCCTGGGGGGTCATAGCCACAGGGGGTCAGAATGCTCAGAGAATTGGGGGTATGGAGAGCCATGGAAAGGTGGGGTCAGGGGAGTGAAGAGCTAAAAAGAGGTGACAAGGTGGTGATTAACCCAGGGACCCCCCAAAAGAGGGAGGAGCAGTGATAGAGGAGACACATCAGAGAAGGAAGGAAAATGAAAGAGCAGACACCCTTCCCCGAGGATGGCTTCAAGGAGAGAGTGAAAAAAACTAAGACTCCAAATAGATAAAGGGTTTAAATATAAAATGAGAAAAGGGGAAATAAACATGGACTTATTCAGCATTACCAGAGATCACGTACATACAATTTAGAGCCAAAATGAAATGTGTTTCTCCTACAGAATTAACAAACATTAAATATTTGAGAATGCCCAGTGTTGGTGGGGGATAGGGAGACAAACCCTCTTCCACATCCTGGTGAAAAGAGCAAATCGGTGTTATTCCGGAAAAGCAATCTGGCAGCACCACCTAGGCATGGATGCTTTCGACCTCGTAATTTTAAATCTTGGACTGTAGCTTAAGAATATAATTCTAATTAGAGAAAAGGAACTTTATGTTCAGAATTTGGTGCTTCTTATGACAGCAAAAATTTAAAGTTTCTTAAATATTCAAACATAGGAGAAAAGTTCCATAAATGATGGAATGTTCACTTAACAGAAGTTATTAAAATGATAGTTACCAAACTTTATAATTAATGGGGGAAATGATTATATTATAAATTAAGTGAAAAACAGTATACAGGAAGCATATGTTTAGTATAGTCACAACTATGTAAAACAAACAGAAAATAAATCTAATAATCACAAAAACGACTAGAAAGAAATACACCAAAATTTAACTGTGTTGTCTCAAGCTGGAGGGGTTGAGGGTGATTTTGAGCTCTTTTTTTTTTCTGCTTTTCTATATATTTCACATTTCCACAATAAATGTACATTATGATTATAATGGAAAATGGTAAATGAACATTCCTTTAGAAGAAAAATGAATGTGTGAGGGGGCGGTGATGGAGGTGGGGAGGGACAGGAGGGCCAGCTCTCCCAAGGGTGGAGAGGTGCTCTGCACTCAGAGGCCTGGTCCCCTTGGCCAGGTCACAGGGCAGTCCCAGAGGGCAGGCCATGGGCTTGGGATAGGAGGACAGCGGCCATGCCTAGTGGCCTCGCATGGCCTCGCGCTCACCTCAGGAACCTGGACAATGTAAGGCTCCTGGATGAACCTGGGTGCCTCATCGTTGGCATCAGTCACCAGGATCACAACTTTTTCTGCCACCTGAGAAGGGTGAGGGGCAAAGGGGACAGGAGTTGGGGCAGTGAGACCTTCTGGACAAGAAAGGGACAGTGGCCCCTAATGTCCCCAGGTATATGTCTCCACCCATCCTCCCTCTCTCCCCTTTCCTTTTTTCCGTCCTTCCTTCTTTTATTCATTCATGAAACAAATACATATTATTAAGCAACTACTTGATGCCTAGCACATGGAATGGAGCACTCGGTGTTCCATCCCAGGGACAGAAGACATGGTCTGATGGTGTGCATTTTGCAGGACGAGATGGAAGGGCAAAGATCAGCATATGAAAGAACGTGGTGATAACAGTGTCATGCCAGGCACTGAGGGCAGGTCCCTGCACTGTCCAGCTCTGGGGACACAGTGCACGCCATGACCTAGGCAAATGCATCCCCTGGGTCTATGGGGACACAGAGGCTCCCAGAAGAGGCATCTAACCAGCCTGTGGTGGTTGATGCAGGGAGCTTCACAGAGGGGTGAGAGTTAGGCTCTGCAGCATTTCGGCAGGTGAGAGGGAAAGAAGTAAAGGAGCAGCAAGTGCAAAGGGGAGTGAAATGCACAGTGAGGTCAGAGAACATAAGTAGGTTCATGTCAGATGGTTGGTGGGGTGAGCATGGAAGAAAAGGTGGGCAAGCCTGATGGTGCCCAAAGTGCAGGTCCTGAATGCCAGACTGAAACTTGGGTTTCACCCTGAGGGTGGTGGGGGCCAGATGTTAGTGCTTTCTGGGCTGGGCTGTGGCCAGGTCTGGGTCCTGCAGGGGAGCCCTGGCTGAATTTGGAGGTGGATTGGGATTGGGGAGCCTGCAAGCAGGGGAGCTCCTGCAGTTTGAGAAGCACTGATGAGGGCTGGGGCAAAGTGGTGGCTGTGGGGAAGGAAATAAAGGAGAACCTGGGGTCTGGGTGCCCAGGTACTCGGCTAGGATGACTGACTGGGCAGAGCCAAGACACAGGTCAGCGGAAGCGGATGGGAAGCAGGTCTGAGGAGATGCTGAGGAATGTGAGTGTGCGCCCTCAGAAGTGCAGCCCTGTCCCCTCTCTCCCTTCCTTCCCCACTGGCCACACATTCTGCAGCCCTCTCCTGTGGGCATATTGGGGTGGGTTTTGCTGGGCCTCAGCTTGGGTTTGCCAGGGAGCCCTCAGTTCCCAGGACGTTGGTTGGAGGAGGGGACTGTGCTCAGGCCCAGGGAGCTGAGTGCTGTCAGGGGCTGGCCCAGGTGTGCACTCACCAGATTCAGGCTGTCAGAAATGCTGATGATGGCTTCAATCTCATCCTCCCACTGTAAAGCACAAGAATTGAGTGAGTGTCCAGGAGTGATGCATGCTAGGGACCCCGGAGTCTGGGGGTAGCTCTCCCTGCCCCACTGAGCCCATCAGAAAAGGTCTGGTGTAGGGTGGGGTGACCAAAGTTGATTCTGGCCATGCTTGAGACCTTCTTTGGGGGCTCTGCACATCAAGGGTTCTCATAAACCCAGAGGGATTTTTGAGGTGCCAACAGAAAATGCTCCCCTGCCCCAGCTAGAATGAGGAAAGATGCTAACCTAGTGTTGCGGAGGTCCCAGGAACAAGGCTTACTCCCGTTTTTCTGTACATCTTCTCCCCCTGCTCTCTCCCATACCCTGCATATTCCACAGTTCTTCAGCGGTCCAAATCTGTGGCATCTGAAGCACCCCCCAGGACACTGTGGGACCTCAATGAAAAAGGACCCTGAGGGGATGCCAGGGAGGGGCAGCTAAGTCACACCTCCACCACTGCATCCCCACAGCAGTCTCTGAGACCTACCCTTTCCCTTTTCTACTCTGGCCTGTAGGTGGTGGGTGAAGTCTGCTATCGGACCAGAGCTGGCAGCAGCCCCATAGCTGAGGTCCAGTTACGTGGCTAGCTAGGCCCACCAGTCTGGTGTGGTGTCTCAAAGTGAAATGCAGCCCATGCCTTGTCACCCGCAGGTTCACAAGGGTGCAGAGGGGTAGAGATTTTCCAAACTCCGGCCCACTCTCTAAACCACGCCTTCCAGCCCTGATCTGCTGTCTGAATTTTTGGTAGCTTACAAGACCTCTCCAAACATGGTCTCTATGGGACCGTCCAGCCCTCAGAGGCTTGTCTGCATGCCGGTAGGCAGCAATCCTCGCATCTCCCCATACCTCTCTGTCCAGCTCTTCAATCAGGGTGATGTTTCCAAAATTGGGGTCAATGGAAAAGACGCTTCTAGAGCTGGGGTCAAAGCTGATGTGGTAGGACACAGGGTCTCCCTCGGGGTCTGTTCCATTCAGGGTGTACACATGAGAGCCTGGAAGGAGACACAGAGGGGAGACCTAGAATCTGGGACCCGACTTTTCCTAAAAGCGGCAGCTGCTCAGAACCAGGGATTCAACCACCTGTACAGTGAATCTGCAGTTCAGTGCCAAAGGTGCCACCCTGAAGTGAGCATGCCCCGCTGCCCTGGCGGCCCTGCTGCTGCCCTTCCCAGTCTTTATCTTTATTCTTCACAGCTGTCGGTGAGATATTAGTATTAGCCACTTTACAGATTGTCATTTATAATACAGATTGTACAGTAGCTTACCCTCTGCTGTGCCTCTGCCTGCTAATGACTTCTGTCCCAGGAGCCAAGATTGGGGGTTCCCTCAGGATGGGGGAAAAGGGAGGTGCCATTAAGGCAGGAGGGTGGCCCACGGGGCAGCTCTGTTCTGCTGCCCGGATTAGCTCCTCAAGGTTGTCTGAGCAGGTGCGTCTTTACACTGCTGATCTTTGGCTCAGGGTTCCCAACAAAGACAGGGTGAGACAGGGGAAATGCAAATCTCTCTCTTTCTCCTTCCCCCCGCTCCGCCCATCCCAGCCAGTGAGTTGAATGTTCTTGGACCCCTTTAAAGCCTAAAGATTTGAGTCTGGGAGGTCAGTGAGTACATTTGCTGAAGGTTACACAGTGGACACTGGGCAGCTATGGCCAAGCCCTGTGGTAACCAGCATGCTGAGGACTTCTGCCTGCCTCCTGGGGCAGGCCCTGTCTTTATACCCGCAGTGAGGTCTTCATGGTTGGCTGGGCTTAGGTCTCCATGGCAACCGTGACCTCCTTTTATGCAACTGCCCTGGAGAATTCAAAGCACAAAGAGACCCCCCTCCCACCCCAGCATCTGGAACCCAGCTCTCCCTTTCTCGGGGTTCTTCCGTGCAGTGTCCGGGGGATGAGGGCCACCCCTCTGGGTGACCTATGGGGGCCAGTGCCAGGGCTCCTCACCAACAGGAGTGTCCTCCGGGAGGCTGAATAAGGCCATGTTTCCATCAGTGCTGCCGATCCCATTGTCGAAGAAGTGGGGGGCGAAGTTGACCTGGGCTAGGGAGGAAGCAGACAGAACAAATGGACACCCAGACACTCTTAAGGGCAATTTCGCGCCGTCATGGTTTGGTGTCTGGCCCCAATTCTGGGCAGGCTGGCACTCCCCTCTCTAACCCTAGCACACCCAAGCACTCTGCTGGGGAGCTTGGGAGAGGGTCCTTTAGCCACCACCTCCCATGGGCTCAGGCTTGTCAGGGACACGGACCATTTGGGGCCCTAAGAACCCAGGCAGCTGCTAAACTTAGCCCATCAATGGGCAGACTGGGACAGTAGAGAGGTACAGTGCCCTGGCCAAGGTCACACCAGGAGCTGGAGCGCTCTCCCCTGCCCCATGCAGACATTAGAGAAGCCGCCAAAACTCCCACCCTGTTTCTGAAAAACAAGAGGGCAGCGGACTCCTGGCCACAAATCTGGAGTTTCCAGAGCACTTGCCTCTGGGGAAGTGCCCCCGGAGCCCCTCTACCAGCCAAGCCAGCCAACTGAAAGAATCGCTCCCCTCTTTTCTGCCCCAGCCCCCATCGCCCAGCTGGAGTCGCACTCTGGAAGTGAACAGCCCAGAACTATGTCTCTGTGTGTGCCCCCCCCCATAGCTCCGGCGCCCTCCCTTCGCCCTCATCGAGGCCCGCGGGGCCCAGCGACCACTCACCCAGGCAGAGGCGCAGCAGCCCCAGGGATAGGGCGGCCTGCGGGTCGAGCCTCATGTCTCCGCTGGCGAGTGATGTCGCTCCTCGCAGACGAGGTCGGGCGCAGGAGCACAGAGCATGCCCCGGGCCCGGGAGGAGCACAGAGGTGACAGTGGGGGTGGCGGCAGCAGCGGCAGGAGTGAGCACGGGGCGGGGGCGCTGGGTGGTATGAGGGCGCTAAGCGGATGACACGGCTCGGATCTGCGCCGCTGGAGCACTCTCTCGGCTGCCAAATGAGACCAATTAGTGCGCTGTGAGCCGTGGGGACCCGCTCCAGCAGCGGGTGTGGGGCCGGAGAATGGACGAGGGCACCCATCTCTTCTGCCATGCCTGCTTCACCCAAGTCTGGAATGCAGGAGCCAAGGGGCCCCCAGGTCCCAGATAGGAGCACTGTGGAGTGGGCCAAGTGTCTTCCACCAGGGTGCCCTGAGCAGGGCACTGGAAAATTGGGGCTTTTCAGGATCCCCAAGTCCCCGTGGGGGTGGGTCCATTGGAGATTTTTCTTTTTAATAAACTTCCTCTGTGACTTTCAGGGAGTTTGCTTCTCTCTCTGAGCCTGAGCATTCCAGACTGTAAGCCAGCCTCAGACTAGAGGGACCCCTCCCTAGAGGAGAAATGAGAGCAGGGGGGGAAATTAGTAAATGGGCTTCCGGGAGGGCATGGCCCTCCAGGACAAATAGGTTCCAGAGATAGGTCCCTGAAGGCTTTGGGGGTGAGATCAAAAGACAAAGAGGAGGGCTGTGGTCTGGAGAGGAACAGATGGTGAGGGGTTATCAGAACTCCCTGTTTAGGACCTCAGCCCATCCCTGCCCTGCCTCCCAGGCAAGGCCAGCTCTCCCAGAGGGTCTGATCACTAGTGTGATCAGTGGGGGTTCATATGTGTGGTAGGCAGCAGGGAGGGTCTTCCAGTCTCCATAAAGGTGGGAGGCAGAAGTTGCCGGCAGCAGCCTGGCCTCCCTGCCCATTCCCAGTGCCCAGTTGGTGACCACAGAGAAGCAGCAGACCCACTCAAGCCTTGCAAGGAACTGTCTGAAGACAGATTCAAGCCCCATTCTGGGCCAGATTTGCTGACAGAGCTGGCCAGCACAGGTATGGACTCCCCAAGAGGGGTGAGCTCTCTGTCCCTGGGAGACCATTTAGGCAAAGCAAGCCACTGCTGTGGGGGCCTGGGTGCTGACAACTAGGAGAGGCAGGTAAGCTCGGGAGCCTTCCTTGTTGCTGGTCAAGCTCCCTGGCCTGGACCCTTATTCCCTTGCTCTGGCACGAGTTTGGTTGGAAAAGCAGCCGGTCAGTCACTTCAGGTCCAGTCTTGGTCACTCCTCAGGATGCCCTTGGGAAGGTGTGTCCACAGTCAGAGGAGACCCCTTTGTGTGCTCCATGATTGCAGTCTCAACATTCTTCCCCAGGCGACTTCCCAGGAGTAAAGCATCGCCCATCCCCTGGGCCAACCCTCCTTGAACTACTGTGAGAAAGAGTTAGGGATTCAAGTCAAGGACAAGACGATTCAGTGGTCTCAGAGTTTTTGGCAATTTTCAGACCCGATTAACCCAAACCTTTCTTGTTGAAGGGTTTGGCCCTTTGGCTGGAAAGATGCACTTTAAATCGCACAGACATGTGTGCATCTTTGTGTCAGAAAATGCTGGGACAAAGCCAAGACAAGCATTCCACAAGTCCTATATAGAAATGAGGAGACTGAGGCCTCGTGCCGGTCATCCAGTGAGCTGGAAGCAGAGCCAAGGTTTCCTGAGGCAAATGTCTTGTCAGTGTGCTGGGAAGAGCCAGAGCTCCGTGTCCTGTCTGCCCACCTCCTCATCAGGCAGTTCTGGGCCCTTTGACTTCTCTCTCCTCAGTTCACTCAGTCAACAGGCTTGCACTGGAGAGTGATAGAGAAGGAAGGCCGTGTGTGTGTGTGTGTGTGTGTGTGTGTGTGCGCGTGCATGTGTGTACTGTCACCCATATTATCTCATGTAACCAGCATATCCTCTCCTGGTGTGATGGTCTCTGCTTTAGAAAGGAAGAAGTTAAAGCACAGAGAGAGCAAGTCACTTGCCCAGGCTCACACAGCCAGTGAGGGACAGAGACTGGATTCATATCCAGTTTGGGCTGGTTCCAGAAAACGTTGAAACTCTTCTATGGCAGAAGATGACCATGAAGTTACTGAACCTTCAGCTCTGAGCCCCTTGCACACACATCCCTTCCACAGCACTAATTTTGTATTTGTAGTTTATATTATTTTTTCTTAAAGAGGCCACTCCCTTTCAATTGTACAGGTTCCCATCTGCTAGAGTAACTAGCCATCTTGATTTGCCTGGGACTGGGAGGGTTTCCAGGGATGTGGGCCTTTCTGTGTTAAAACCAGGAATGTCTGGAGGTAAACGGGGGCTAGCTGGTCACCCGAGACCTGCCCTGTCCTCACAGTACCTGGGAACCTGGGAAAACAACAGCTCTTCGTGGAGAGTTCATACACATTGATCTTGACCTTGCAGTATGGAAGGTCTAGAAGCTACCTGGAGGGCTTGGTTTGTCGTAGCTGGGAAGGAATGACTCACTTGCCATGGGGCATGGGGTTTGGCCCTCCCCCTGCAGACCCTGGGCAGCCTTGGGCACACCAATTACCTTGTCCTCCACATGCCCATTACCCTGCAGGGTGACCAGCTTCATTTCTCCTAGGGTCTCCTCGCTGTGGCATGTGCAGTGAAATACCAGATCCGGTCGTCCATCTCTAAGTCAGGCCTGACAGCTCTTGTTCAGGTAGATTTACAACAGCTGGTCCAACTGTCGGTAAGTAGGAATTCGAGTGTCAGCTGCCAGCCTGGGCATGCATGTATGTCCTAGTTCCTTCTGCCAACAGGGCAGCCAAGAGTCTTGTGAGCTCTTTGCCTGTGTCTGATCTACGCGAGTGTGCTAACCCACAGTGCCTTGTCCACACATGTACGACACATTCACACAGTTGCCCACAGAAACACATAAGTTCTAGTCCCATTTGCAGACCCATTTGTACACACATGTATACACACCCATCTGCTTCTGAATGGGCTCACATCTCCTTGTGTAAACACACGTGCCCAGCATGTGCGTGCATACCTGCACCAAGAGAGGTTGGGCAGGACACCCTGCAGGCTCCCTCTGGGGCTGAGCATTTAGTGAGTAGCAGGTGCCTACCTTTCAGGCCCATCTTCCTCAGGACCCTGACCTAGGGAGGGGAAAGGGCCAGTCTCTAGTGCCCGGCTTCTTCCGCATCTGTCTGGGGTGCAGCTATTTGAAGGGCTGACCTCTGCCCTAGTAATTGGCATCCTGAGCTGTTCTGTCCAGTTGCCGAGTTCCAACAAAAGGACTAATTATGATAAGGAAGCCCTCTTCCAAAGAGGGATTTGGTACTGAGCAGGAAGGCATAGGGCCAGGGGATCCCAGTAAGCCTGGATGCACCCTCTCTGGATACAACATGACTGTGAGGTCCCACCCATCTAAGCCCAGGTGAGTTCCTGAGAACTGTCTTCTGCAGGTGTGGGTCAGGGCATACCCACCTGGCTGGAAGTTGGAAGCCCCTTGCCACAGCAGTGGGCTCTGGTATTAATAGGTCAGCTGTAGGCTCAGCAGGCCAGAAAGCCCTGGACAAGATCTCTGAAATGTGGCCTCTCCTTCCCCTTGCTGTGGCCAGCCCAGATGCAAGGTGGCTGCCTCAGTTTCCTCTGACATGGGGATGGGATCCCTCCCCTAACTGCTTGAGACTCTGCCTTAACTGAGGCTGCCACCTGTTCCCTAGTTCCCATCTAGCTGACAGTGGTACCCACTGACTCAGACTCATGGTTGTAACGCTGGCTCTTGGGCATTGTGGCATTCTCACTGGTGGGCAGAAGCTCTAGCCCTGACTTGCCTGCTGTCACCCTACAGCAGTCTCCTTTGCTATCTCTGCCTGCCACATGGCTGAGCCTGGGTAGAGGACACGCCAAAGAATGTCTTTTCCTCCAGAAGATTTTTTTTTCTGGCATGCTTCTTTCCCCAAGCAGAGCTGGTCCCTACTTGAGACTTTGACAGGTTCCTTGAAAGACTTTAGTGTCCTAATCTCTGTTTTGGTGATTCCCCAGAGTGCTGTGAACCATTTAGGGAGGAGGTCATGTTTCATGTTTCATGAATAGGTGGCTTCAGTATCAGCACAGGGCCTGTGACACAGTAGGTCCTCAATGGGTAGTTGTTGACTAGCTAAATGAGTGACGGAATAAATGAATGACTGAATGACTGACTGACTGAATGAATGAATGAATGAACGAAGAGGCACTTGACAATGTCATAAATCTTGGTACCTGGTCCTAGTCAACAACGGACCTTCTTCAGCTTTTGACATGCTCCTTTCCATCCATCCATCCATCCATCCATCCATCCATCATAAAGTGGCAGACTGAGTAGCCAAGCCAATTTCATAGACTGAAACTTCAGGAAATGGGAATGTAGAAATGGCTTAGTGAAACACAATAGGGAATAATAAGTACAGGTTACTGTGTGTGTGTAAGTGTTCAGCATATTTAAACACCGAGTTGAGCAAGCAAAATGGTTGCATCTGATGTAGAAAAGGACCTTTTCTGTTCTGACATCTTATCATTTGGCACCTCCCACCCTCTGGTTCACCCTTTGTAAGTCCTGAGAGGGGCAGTGCAGTTTGACAGATTAAACAACAGATGAGCCAAAAACCTTTGCCAGGGATGGATATCAAGTCTGTTCACTGTGTCTAGAGATGTCCACAGCTTACTAGGCTGCTAGTAATCAGGCAAGGGCCAGCCACTGCCTGGTACCCTGGACATGCCCAGATTCTAGAAGTTTTATGATGTTTTCAAGGCAGGGTCAACGGCTGCAGAGTCAGTCAGGGGAGTCACCACTAAGCAGCCAGGGCATGGCCTGTGCAGGGCTCCAGAAAGCGGCTTATCCTGCACAGTTCGCCCAGAGATAAGCTCGGAGATGAGTCAGCAGAGTGCGAAGTGCATGTGCTGCCCAAAGGAGGCTCTGTGATGGCAGAGGGTGAAACTGCCCAGGAGGACCCCATCCTGAATGGGGATGAGGAGGGGGATCGGCCTGGATTCATTTAGTTTGGTGGGAGCACATCTGACCATTTGGTTTCTATTTCAGAGCCAGGCATTTCTCATTTTCTCATTTCCCCTCTCCCTAACAGCCCTCTGTGATGGGTTGTCTGTCTCATTTTACAGATGGGGAACCTAAGGCTCTGAGAGGCCATCTGCCCTCCCTGGTGTCACACAGTGGGCACGTGACAGAGCTTGTGCTCCGTAAACTATATCAGGTGTCTCAGTCAAGGAGTGTGGGCCCCTTCAGGTGCCATGGAGACTGCACACTTTCTCTAATAACACTACTGTGACTTGCCAACATGTCTAGATTCTTCAAGGAGTCAGTTAGGGTAACATAAGAATTCCAGTTTTCAGATGTAAAGTCACTTCCAGATGTTTGGGTTTTCCTTGTAATCTCATAGTGTCCCCAGCAGCTTTGAAGCCTTATGCACAAGAGGCCCCTGTAGACTCAATCTCCTTTGAGGGTGAAGTTCTTCCACCAAGATTAAAAGCCCATGTGACAAGTTCTGGAGGGGGCCTTTTGCAGGGGAGAAGGGGAAGGAATGCTCCCAGCATTTGTCCTCCCATTCCACATGGGCACCTCTGTTTGCTTGGGAATCAGCCTCAGGCTTTCCCTCACTCCTCAGAGAAAGGACAGACGGGGCAGTGTGGGCAGGCAGAGTCAGGGTCCTCAGCTCTCTTTCATGCCGCCCACCCTTGGCCTGGGCTGCTCTGAGGGGCTGGTGTCCCCAAAGGACCCTCTGGGTCACTGCCTATCCTACTCAGGGGTGGGTCTTGCTGCTCCCTTGCCTGGCCCTTGCTGTACCGTGCCTCACCCCAACACACACACACACACACACACA